TTCCAGCCACAGGCCACAGGCTGTAGAAAGGATAGGAGACTGGGGGCTGAGAGGCAGAGATGGAGAAGGTCTCCAATGTATAGATACGCAAGACCTGAGAATAGGCTTCTACAAAGCACGACTGAAAGGTCTGTGAAAGACACTAACAGAGTTTATCCAAGAGATGTCAATATGAAAATTGCGATTGCAGTGCTTCATCAGCCACCGTGGGAGAGGGAGGCCTTTCGTATTCAGACAACATAGCTGCTGGGTGTCCTACTGCACCAATTTGGAGTAATTTGTGCAGTACGACACCCAGCAGCTTTGTTGTCTGAATGGAAGATTATCTTTATTATGTTTCTTATAGGAAGGTTTTAGAAAATCAGTGAGCGACGTAGAGCCGCTTGATCAAAAACTGCAGTTCAGAGCTTCTGATCTTCCTTCTTCAAGACTCACTGTCATTATAGCACAGTTAGAGATGCTCCAATTAGATTAAAAAATCTCAGCTGAAGGTGTGAATTCTTAGTAGAACTGTAAAGTAAAGAAAATGAGCTGAAAACAGCAGCAGTTAGGAAATATGCAAAAGGAGGTCTCCGGGGGAGCAAAAAAGGAACATGAAAGCTTGTGGTCTAAAGCAATGATAGAATAGGTAAGGTGAGGTAGGATTCCCAAGCAGAGAAGGTAGCACTTTCCTATCATTCCTGGATCAATTTGGACAATATCAACTGAAAAGACACACTGTGTCACTGGCCCTGTTTTCATTGCAGCTCTGTTTGCCGGCCCATTATTGTGAGTCTCTCTGTAACTGACCTCATTTAGTTCATAGGAGTTCATATTCTGCTTCACTTTTAAATACAACTTTTTTTTTAATAAAACTCTACATTTTCGGTCCACAGAAAGTTGATGCTTGTAGTAAATGAAATTATCTCAATGATGGCTAGCAATGGACACGATTTGATGACAACAGTTTCAGACATCTTTGAAAATAGGGAGTTCCTTACCTGAAAAAGATGTGCTATGACTGAAAGATTACTGATTTCTAGTTAAGTGGGTGCCAACTGGAGTCTCCAAAGCATCAGATTTCCTCTATTTGGTTTAACAAAAATGTGTGGAAGTCTCTTTTTTTTTTGTAATGGAGCTACTTTGTTCTGGGAGACAGATGGTCAGAGTGCTTGTATTCAGATTGCTGTTGTAGTGCTGTAGAAATTTATTTTGTGCCTCAAGATGTGGACCTAGTTTGCCCCTCTCCAGTGCTCGAAGTCCCAGTGACAACAGTAGTTAATTTCAGGCAGTTAATTTAGTCTGAAGAGAAAGGCTGTGTGGGCACCAGAGCTACTCTCATTCATTATGCATCTCAGCGACGGGGCTGATGCTCCCTTGTGTGCTGGCCTTGCTGGATTTTTAACAGCCCTCACCTGGTGCTGTCACAGCTGCGGTATCGTGGGTAATTGCGGCTTGCCTAGAGCGGGGGGTGGCATTATTAAAGTGATTCAAAGGCAGTAAAGCTCTGAGATTAAGAATAGTGTTGCCATCCCCAGCAGGACTCATGAAATAAACGATAGCTAATGTGGATACAGAGGCGGGAGCACGCATCTTGCAGTGGCAAGTGTGAGTGATGTGTGTTAAAGGTCACACATTTCCCCATCTGTGCACATCAGACAGCTATTACTGCAGGCAGAAACATCATTGAAATACAAAGCACTGAAATGGGTTTTGGTATGGGTCCAGGAAATTCACAAATTCTAGATTTATGTTTAGCTCAGAGGGTAAAAATAATTACTTGTGTCGGTTCTGCTGTAAAAATTCAGTGATTAAAATGTGACTCTTTTTCAGTCTTTTATGTAAAAGTGTCTCAGAAGGACACTTTTAGTATTCGTGCAAGCATCTGACTCAGTCCATTTCTGTGGTTTAAATATGGTAATTTGTGCAGAAAAGAAGAGACAGTGAACCTGAATTCCACAATGAAAGCTGGTGAGAAAGACAGTACACTACGTGGTGGACTGACTGTGCTCGCAACTTCTAGCATCTGAGAATGTCTCCTCTCTGACTTGGCTCACGGCAGTAAAATAAACTTGGGTGATATTTGTAATGGGGGGCATGGTGGTCCTGTGGTTAGCATTGCTGTCTTGCAGCACTGGGGCCCTGAGTTAAATTCTGGACCTGGGATGCTGCCTGTGTGGAGTTTTTATGTTCTCCCTGTGTTTGCGGGGTTTCCTCCCACCGTCCTAAGACATAATGGTTGGTTAATTGGCTTCTGTGAAATTTACCCAGATGTGTGTGTGTGTGTCTGTGCCTGTGCGTGCCCTATGATGGACTGGGGTCCCATCCAGGGTGTATCCCGCCTTGCGCCTTTTGCTTGCTAGGATTAGGCTCCGTCTCCTCTGTGACCCTGTGTTGGTTGAAGAGGTTAGAAAGTGGATGGATATTTGTTATTTTATTTCATTGGGAAGACTGAAGGCTGTAAGTTCCAGTTTTCTTTTGCTTTAGTCCATTGCTGTGTTCATATAATTTATTTCCATCATCATGTGTTATTTGCTAATAGCACTAGCTGGTGTTCCCACTTAAGATGATTTAGAAAAAACAATTGTACCCTTTTTTCTTCAGTTTTCTACAATGACCCAAAATGACTCTTATTTTCAGATATTAAAGTCAAGGAGCAGTCCCTGGAGAATTTAATGAGGTATGTCTTGAAAATACCTTCATACAGAATCCAGCTTCTCTATAGGTATTGTTATACAAATAGGCCTCAGAGTGAAACTACTGTGATAAAGTGAATTAAAATAATTTTAGGTATGTACAAATACTGTATAAGTTCCTGGAGCTGATCTGTTACATTGTGTACAGTGATGTAATGGAGAATGTATTACATAGATGACAGATTATAATTGTTAGTTTTGAAGAGTGCTAATTAAAATCCAAACATGCTGTCTGCTTAGGAAACGAATTGCTCTTACAAGTCCCTGTGTTTAATGCACTGATGTAAGAATGATAGTGCTGTTTATTGCTCAGTGCATTGGGTATCTTGTCATGTGCTAATTTTTAAATGTTTCCCAATGGGAGGGAGTATTATGCCATTTAATAATATGATCCATGTTCAGCAAATTGAGTTTTTCCAGTCTTGTCATTTAAAAATTGAATCTGCTTCTCATATACAGTAAAGGGATTTAATTTATCCCAGATTTATGTGCATAGTTGTATTATTACAAGGAAATTTAATATAAATGGCTTCCACTAAAGCATGTGTTTTGGAATGATATTGTTGGTATACATAATAAAAACACAGAAACCATTTTCTGTGGTAGTCAAAACCTCGAGTTTCTTATTATATTATGCAGCTTCACAGATGTTCTCTAATAAAAGTTTTAATAATTCTAAAATTAAATAAGCTGTTGGTGGTTTAAAGAATTCTGTTATTCAATGTGTTTTAAAACACTAAATGAAAAATGTGGACCTCTCTTTCTTCAGCATATGCCAAAGAAGACAAAATGATGTGCTTTCAGCTAGTTTCTCTTGCATCCCACTAGATAAGAGGTAGAGAGTTTTTGTGTTGAAGTAAATATGGGCATGTCGGGGGGTCTGCATGAGTGGCCTCTTGTCAGAGTGTGCCCTCTGTATGCTGGTGCCATTGTACCAGTGGAGGAAAAGACATTTGCTCTGCTGTTGACTAGCTAAAATAGAGGCCCTCAACAGCAATACAGTGTGAAAAGTTACAGTTACAGAGAATCAGTCATGCAGCACAAAATTAATCTGACATAATTCATCTAGGACACTGGATTTAGCATTATTATAATCATTGTATATCTGTTAAAAAAAAGAGCCTTCAGTGTAGCTAGAGACCAGTATCAATGGAAATTATGCCATTGGCCTATCTTGCTTATTTGGTTGCTGATGCCATTGTTTGACTGATCTGACTAATATAGTGATGTGCCACATGATGAAGGATCCAAGGAATTCTAACTCAACAATGTGGCTGGGTAACTTGTCTCAAACACCTACCTCAAACAACACCTCAAACAACTTGTCCTTTGCACAAAAATGTGTCCCTTTTTTTTTAGTTCAAACCATCTCCACTTTCACTTTAGTTGCCCCTCTCATATAATTGACACAGATTTGTATTGTTTTCCCAGGGGTCGGAAGATTTATGAGCCACCACGCTACATGAGTGTGAAGCAGGCTGCCCAGCAACTCTTGGAGATTGTCCACAATAGGAGGGAGCAGCACGAGGAGCTGGGTGAGATTAAAAGAGCTGTGTACCAGGGTGTCATGGGGTGTACCCTCCTGTACACTGCTCCCAACTGGCCAAAACTTACAAAAACTGCATACATTTAATAGATTCAGAAACTTTTTGCCAGGCTTGATTCATTAATATTCAAATTCGACACAACTGAGATAATTTTGTATCACTTTTAAATTCACTTAACCTGAGGTCATATAATGACTGCTAACATTCAGCTGAATTTTAAAGTGAAGTAAAATAGGCTGGGTTTTACTTTTCTTAAGAATTGAGAAAAGCTCAATTTTTGTTAAAAAATTATTTGTTTCCATGAGTGGTGAATTCTGAATTTAAGTTTCAGAAGTAGAGCTTAAAGAAAAACAATGGCATTTTCATGGGGGATTTACTTTTCTTTTTAGAAGCTTAAATATAAATGTGATAGTGTCATAGAATTTTCTGCAATCCAGATCTGAATTCCACACTGCAGTCAATCTATTAATGGAGCTGTTTCTGTGTGGCAGCCATCACTGAAGACACCATCTGCGTGGGTCTGGCCAGGGTGGGGGCGGAAAACCAGAAGATCTGCACCGGCACCCTTACAGAGATGGCATTGGCTGACCTGGGGCCACCCCTGCATTCTCTGATCATCACAGGGGACATGCACCCCCTGGAGATTGACATGTTGAGACTATTTGCTCTGGACCAGGCCACTTTCCACAATCTGAAACTGACAGACAGCTCTACTTACACATCCTAGAGCTGCATGAGACCCAGAGTGCTCTGAGACTTGCAAAGACCTGTGTGAAGATTCATAGAAACTCACCGTACTCTTAAAGTGTGAAATAAAAATTGCCTTAACAAACAATGAACCCTGGTGTGTGGGAAGGATATTCTTGCATGCAATTAAGTCTGACATATCTGCCTGTAATAATACAGCAAGATTGAATTGATTAAAAACCTTCCACTCCTTTTTAGTTAGTTTACACAATCACTGTCTTCCTGGTCCTTCACTTGCTTTATATGAGTTGGTTTATGCTGACAGTGATTTCTTAATTGTACCTGCCTTCATCGCTGGGGCTGTAAATGAGCAAAAACTCCCCGATTGTTAGGAAGTGAGGCTGGAGAGCAGGTTAATGTTACACAGGTCCCATTATCGAGCTGTTGTCAGCAGAGCTTCAGTGTTGTGCACACACATATACTTTCTCGAAACAGCTTTCAAAATGTCTTTGAGACAACTTTGCAGACCGTGTTGTTTTTGCACTTTTGCAACATCAGCAAACAGCTTATGATGGAGTCTGTATAAAAAGATTGAGTAGGAAAAGATGAGAATGAAAACATTAAGAACATCCATAAAAGAACATTATGTTTTCAGTTCTTAAAAATTATTCATAATTTCAGACTGTGCATTTCTAAATATGTTCTTTAACTCATATCTGTGGGCTATTTTTACAATGCAGTAGACCATTTCTCTTCTTTATAGAACATTTATATGTACAATTTGAGCCCAGTTACTCTTATGTTATGAGGTGGGTACTTAACTATTCCTTACAGTACCCAATCTGCTGACGAGGGGAGGAATCTGTCACAGACTGTACCAAGATTAACCCCACAGGCACTAGGGAAGACACATGTGGAAGCATTATCCTTTAAGGTATTTGAGCCATAAGGTCACCATGTGCTACACATGAGTAAACAGGCAGGGCAGTCACGCATGTAAGTGGCCAATTGCAGATGACAGGAGTGATGTCACTGTAAGAAGACAGTCCTGCAGGATCAGAGAAAAGGCAAGGTGGCGATCCCTTTGCATCCCCCCCCATGCTGAACCTGACCCCTGTCAGCAAGGTCAGGTCAGACATCGCACTTAAAGAATACAGCCTACTTTGTATTCTGTGATTAGTCCGGACTGAAAGGGAAAGAACAACACAAACATGAGTATGAAACTGATCCCTCTTAAATTGTCTGGAAACTTTAAATAATCGTGAGACGATGAAGCAGGGCAAAAGAAAGCCTGTTTGAAGGCCCCCTGAGCAGAGCTCCTGCACTTACATTGACCTCCTAGCACTAACCCCTACTGGGGCTAAAGTTGTGCAGACATGCACTCCACTATTATTCTTTTTAGATTACCTTTGCAATTATCTTTCAAAGATAAGTCTTGTTTTTCATTACAAATATATTTTAGGCTGGATTAAAGTCTGGTTTAAAAAAATGCTCCCTTGGCTTAAAAGAAAAAACCTTCTGGCACTGTGCTGGAATGGCTGAGAGCCATACACTGGCGAGCAAGCTGTGGTGCTGGACGGCAGGAACTCGTGTCAGAGCTGGCTTCACCTTGCTTTTTACACCCCTTTGTCTGGAAAGAGGCAATTAATCTTCAGGAAGCAACCTTGTCCTTTTCCTTTACAGAAATATGGATTTCTTTCGACGGCTGCCAAGCAAAAATGGATAAATATATCTTTTTGTTCTTCTCACAGCAACATCTGAGGTGTTTGTTCTCTCATCAGTCCTTCCTGATGAGCATGGCTACAATAACTTGGCTGACTGCAGGGGAATTACAGGCAGCCATTAGGAAAGATCTTAAACAAGCCTCTGTGCCAGCACAAGCTGAGAAATTTCAATGTACCTAGATGGACTGTATTCCTGTGGGGGTTTACGGTAAAGCCTGCCAGATAAAGATTTATTGTTTGGTGCAGTGATGCACAAAAAGAAAACATGCACCACTCTAGTCTACTGGATGTAATTATTTTCAATACAGACACCAAACAAAATTAGAGAAACATGAATGAAAATACAAGTTAAAGAATTATAGAACAGGTCAATTCTATTCTGAAAGGTGAAGAAAAGAAACATTGAGGCTGTGAAGCATTCTTCTGGTATGGGAGAGAGAAAGTTGCAAAGACAAGGCAGAAGATAAAAGACAGAACTGGTAAGAAGGGGAAGGGAGCAGGGGGGAAAAGCCCTCAAAACGAAAACATTGGAAAGTTAGTATTGAGTATGATTTCACCGAACTTCTCTTAACACATTAGTCCTAGCAGCACTTACAGTCCTGATCAGCCTGCTGTGGGATATGCCTTCCCTATTACTGCATAGGTGTTGAATGCTGTTCTGAAGTGAAATTGAAGCAATTTGACATTTTTCAACCTAAAGTGTAGTGGGGCTGCTGGTGTAGAAAGACTACTGCACTCCTACCTGTATTCCTTACACTTTGGAATCTTTTTAGTATTAAATGGTATATAAATGCAAGGAATTTTTAATCATGTTTATTGGATTCTCACTAACACAAATATCATCTCATTATTTTGAGTAACCCTCATATCAGTTTTCCACGTGGCCCCTGTGTTTGGTGTGTAACTACTGCATCAACAGCGAGTTTCAGTCAGCCTGCTAGTGAGGTGGTGTAATTGTGATTTCACTTGGTCCAGTACTAAGAGATGCGCCGACAGATCAAGACTGGACTCCTTGCCCATGAGATAGTGTTTTCAGTCCAGCAGTGGCATGGAGCAGCATTGTACCCCCAGGAAGTTTCAATATTTTGTAAAAAAAATGCAATTAGCTAGCATGAGCCAGTTATTAATTTAATGAGGTCATGTAGAAGTCAGGAGCTTGCATTTGACCATAGGCTACTCAGCACCATTGCATTTTTCAAAACTAGGGCATAAACTAAGGAGCGGGATTTCAGAATTAAAAATATAATGAATAAAGTGTTGACTTTAAAAAAGAGATATAAGAATATACTGTATCAAAATATATGTTCCCAAACTTGCTCTGAATAAGAAATAAGGTAAAAAAAGCTGATACAGCACTTGAGGAATGTTGATTTTACTGAGTAAGATGTACAGAGAATTCCTGGCACACTGCTCTTATTTTCACAACAAGAATGTACACCAACAGTTTATATTGTATATCAAAACCTTACCCTGCTGTATAATTACAGCAGGATAAGAGAAAATTAAAAGGCTCAGTAAACAATAAAGCCCAGAGCATATGAATTGAGTTTGCTTTTCTGAAAAGTGAGATGTACATATACACAGTGTACTGCCTTCTCTCACACTTATACATACAGTATATTGATTAAACAGATCTTCTACATTTTCACAGGAGATGCTTTATAATTCATGAAATTTTATTGCTGTACTTTCCTACCACCTTATCAAATGTGTTAATGGCTGCATCTTGTTTCAACAAAGCTGTTGTATAACCGTGACAGTCTCACCTTTATATGATGCTTCACCTGGAAACAATGTGCATGTAAACAGATCCCCTTTGTACTAACCCTCATGATGCTCTGTATCTGCTGTAAACATCATAATACACTTAAAACAAAACCCCTTTTTATTTATTTTTTATAAAGGAGCATGCAAATGTGAAGGCATAAATGAACTTCCCAGTTACTGCGTTTGCCAACACTTAATCTGTTTACAATATAAACATTTCACTTTCATATAGGTGGCTGTATATGTACAAAAACCTTTAACCCAAGCATTTTTACAAAAAGATTGCATATATGATTAATTTTCAATTTGTGAAATGGATGTCAGGTGATGTTTCTACACAAAACTGGATGAGACACTTGGCAGAGAGTGAGCCTGTCAAAAAGCAAATGAAGTGTGGGTGGGTGGAATTTAAATCAGGGTATTGGACCAAACAGCTGGACTGAATCTAGTATTACACATAACTTTGCCCTGTGTGAATTTCTCTTTAAAGTTAATCAAGCATATAAATATTTTTAATTAACACTTCCCAGGAGACATTAAAAAATGAGTTTAAAACAAATTCAGAGTATATTTGGAATTGGTTTTATTTGTATGATCGATAATTTCCACAAAGAGCCAGACTAGCCGTGAAATGTTCAGGTTCACTGCTGGCCTGGTAACAAGCAGATTTACCTGTCCACTTACTGTTAATCACGGACTGTATGCTTGGGTGAAATGTGCACAGATGTCACATTTCACACACGCAGAATAATACAGGTACAGATCGAAGCTAATTCACACAAAAAGTCTGTGAATAGACACTGCTCAGTATACTGTGCAAAATGCAGACCAAAAAGTGAGCGCCACTGTTTCTTGAGATCAGAATCAGTCAAGAACTTCTTCCACCTCCAGGAACGGTACATCATTAAAAAGTCCATATTTACTGCTTACTCAGGACTGTGACCATTATAACCAGCAGCTTACAAGTAATAGTCTACAACACTCAAGAAGGGAAAATTTGAAGAACATCTTTAAAAATGAAAAAAGCAATGTTTAGTCCATTATGAAGGAGCCCTTCCAATCTACAGATGCAGATAACCTCCTTATATGATCTTAACTCAAAAATCTTGGGGTAATATGGCGCTGACTCTCACCTTAGAAATGAATCTCTAAAAGATGTGACACTGTCCATGAAGACATGCGAATAGCAATGCTTGAGGTGTATCTGGCTGTGCTACAGAAAACAAAAATGATCTGGTGGAGAAAAACACCTGGCAAGATGTGTGCTGGGATCGTTTGAAGATTCTCAACAGTGTTCTTCTCAATCATAAACACATGGTTGTTATTACAGTACTTTTGAGTGCATATCCTATCTGTATATTCTATTGAAAAAAAACAGACCTAAAACAGACTTGGATTTAACAAATGTTATCTGGATAATCAACATTGTTTAAGTTGTGGGGTAACAGTGAAGGTCTGGAGTTATGATGTCAGGGGGAACTTTTTACCCCACACAGTATGTACACACGGTTCCCTCATTCTGTTCAGTGTTCTTCAGCGAGTATCTAAATTGTCCAGCACAGGGCATTCACACAGTAGCCATGCTATTTGACCTGAAAGTCTATAAATCTCTATTTATTTCACTGCGCTTTAATGCGTTTCAATTATGGTACTTGTCATTGCACACTTATACTGGAGAAGATGTTTATTCATTCCTTCTGTGAGATTTCTCATGAGCTTTAGGGGCAGATAATAGCCTACTTTAACACTTTCAACTTTGCAATCAGTGATTGCTAAATAGAGAACTATTAAGTGCCCTGATTCATTCTGTTTGACTTTCTAAAGGACGAGCATCTTGGTTTGTCTGCTCCTTCAGAATGGACAGTGAAATTCAGAAGATTTTCAAATACTTTTACTGGCACTTTCAACACAAAACAAAAGGGCTTGTTTTGAATGATCAGGGGACATAAACAAGATTGAATTAACCTGACAAAAACTTATGAAAAATTAAAAGGCCTAAAATGAAATTAAAGACCTTAAATTAACAAAAATGGCCACTGATTTCATTTAATGACAATAACTGCAATGGGTCACACATGGGTATGCTTCCTAATGTCCAACCCCTGCTTTCATTTACACCTCTTCAAAAGATAATAAAATTAATAAATTCATTAGAAAGCACAGTACTCAGCTGTGGAAACTGTTTGTTACATTGCAGAAAGATACCTGGCCTGCAACAAACAGATACAGTAAAACTGAGGAGAATCTGCAGGACCACAATCGTGTGAGAACTTCTTTTGTGGTACGTCTTCTCTTCACATTTACCCTTTAAGTGGGTTGAAATAAATTTCAACTAAGCTGGCCTGTCCAGAGGTACATATGTGTTTCAATGATCAAGTGGAATTCTCCTGAACTGACAGATTGCTTAGAAAGCTGCTGATGAGGACAAGTGTTCAGACTGCAAGACAGCTGTAAGTGGGCAGCACTTGGCTGTTCACACACCACACCAGCGGCAGTGCTGAGCTCCATTTATTCCAGATGTCCACATGGTTTTTTCCACACAAGGCCCTGGATTGTCCTTATTATCCATGATGATTAAAAAAAGGCACTTTGGAAACCAAAAATATGGTCTGGCTCTGCAAAGTCTGCAAAGTGCAAATCAGCCAATTCGATTATTTTCCTTCTACATGATGTTATCAGCTGCAGAGATGACATTTACATAAAGAAAAAAAAGAGACATTAGCGTATTTGAACTACCCTGGATTTTACAGAATCCATGGCAAGCACGCTTACAAAGTAAGATTTGAAAGTTTTCATTACTTAAAAAATCCTTCTTAAAAAATAAAAAAATACTGGGTTCAGAGACTGAACAGACTACAAGGTTCATCTTGTCTTGAAGAAATCACACTGGCAAGTTTTTATGAAGACTGGCGAGAGCCTGGTGGTTCCGCCTCTGTTTTGGTCCCTTTAGCTTGACCCAGAGAGATGAGGACAAGTCGACAGATCCCTACAGTACCAGGGAGCCTCTGGTCCCAGGGCCCTCCCACACAGGGGTGTCACATGGCAGCCACGTCGATCTGCACATAAAGCTGCCTCACACCTGCCTGAAAAATCAAAATAGGCATATGAGGAAGTCAAATGGGTGTCCATTCCTGTCAATGGAAAGTTGTTGAGTCAAGCTACAGTCAATGGCCAGAATATTACAACCAAATAATACCAGGCCTCTGCAAGCAGTTAGAACAGTATGTGACCCATATTCCTCGAGGTTCTGAAATACCGACAGCCCAAAGTCATTCCTATAGCTGGTCTCCTTCAGGGGGGAAATGGTGTGTGGGGCTAAATGGCATGTTCTCCCCTTCTCAGCGGTTCTGAGATGTGGGGATTGCTCAGACTAGGGAATGTGAATCAGTCTGTCTCTTGTTCCACAGCCCATCCATGCACTTCTTTACACTAATGAACAACCTGTAAGTAATACACCTGTAATATTACTTTTGATTTTCCTTTTTTTTTTGAAGATATGGTACATGATGATCAGTACTGCAGCGTGTCCAATCAGGACAGAATGTGCCCAGGTAGGAAGAAAGTCATGCTGAAGACAGAAAGTAAATGGGGACAGCTGAATGGACCAGATGTATCTGAATACATAACAGAAAAGCAGACATATGGGGCTCCATGGAAGGAAGATGAAATGAACTGAAATGCTGCAGGGTTTTCTAATTTTATTTCTAGCTCACAGTTACTTAACTGAACTGATTAAAGTCAGGATGCATGTGATCTTTAACCTCTGGCTGAATATGGCTGTAACACCTGAAGGACCAAGGTTGGTGACCAATGGCAAAGTCTATGGGGAGCAGTATTAGTGTGAAAAGGACATTATTTTATTTTCCACTAACATAACTGAGGCCCTCATAAAAACGGACATCACCCTTAACCTCCTATCCAGCCCATATCAGAAAACTTTAAATGTATGCAAGAAATTTGGAGAGGACAACTCTGGTTCCTACAGTGGAGATTTACACAGATGGAAACTCTTCAGGAATGAAGGCATTCTACCTACCTGGGTGAAGATGTTATGCGTCTGGCTGAGAATCCAGCGGGCATCAGCGTCAGGGGCTACCAGCAGCTTCAAAGTACCAATGTAAACATCTGTGCAGAGTGTCCAGAAATGGGGCTCCTGTAAATTGTAAACCCCCTGGAGATGCTGAACCTGCAACACAAAATCACAATATCTGTCACTAGAGAGACATGAGACAGATCTGATCACTTGAAATTGATCATGTAAGGGGGAAAAAAATGAACCCCCTTTATTGAATGACTGTTTGCAATATTGAACACCTGCATTCTTAACAGACATGAAAGAAAACTGGCCTTATAGCAACTCCAGTTACTCACATTAATAAAGGAATATGTAATCAGTGCAGCACAATCAGGTTAATCTGGCACAGCATCACCCTCACTGAGATCTCACGGGGTGAGAAGGGTAAATTTGGAAGTAGATGAACCCTGATCCTGTTCTGATCCCGCTGTTCCCCTAGCCTGGTACTCCCATTCAAGAGGCCTGCCTCTTGGTACTCACCCGTTGGTAGCACTCCGGGAGCGTGTGATCGAGAGATGGAGGAGTGCGCTGCATCAGTATACCAATAGATTCCTTCAGCAGTGGCACCACACTGGAGCAAAAGGAGAAGGCAGAGGGGAAAAGGTCAGACATGGTCCTGTACAGCAACACACTCCTCCTCTGCTGGGACACCAGCCCTATTCACACCCGAGTCATCCTTCTCAGTGCCAATGTTTCTGGGATGGAGCAAATCCTTAAGGAAAACCTGCTTCAGTCTGAAACTTGGGATGAAAATTCACCTTTCATTAAGACATTGACCCAGCACAAGCACAAGGCCAGAGTTACATTGCAGTGGCTAAACAAGAAGAAAACACTCAACCGGAATACTCAACAACTGGAAGTTGAATCCATTAATGATGCACAGCCAGCCTGACAGAGTTTGAGCAAGATTGCGAAGAGGAATAAATGAAAATTGAACCATTCTGGGCTGAAAATTTTGTACTCCTATAAAAAAAAGACTTACGGCATAAATCGCTGCCAAGGATGCAAGTATTGACCCTTCTTTGACCCATAAAAGTGTTCACTCTGACCATGTTTTGATCACAAACATTCATGTAAATGATTTCAATAGTTCAGACTTGTGAAAATAAGTATATAAATTATTTTAACTCGACAAAATGGGATATTAATGGAATGAGGCAAGTACTCACATATTAAAAAAATAACACTTAAAACGGAGGAAAGTGAAATGTTAATTTACATTTCTAGCCGTTTTGGAAAGGTTGTGTGTTCTAACAGAAGAAACGGACGGATCATCTCCAAGTCTTAACAGTCCAGTAAGACGTCCTTGAAACACATTCCATCTTTTAAAAAATGGCTCATTTTTGCAACTGGAAACTCTCAGAGCAAGGCTCAGAGAAACCAATATTGCTGACACAAGTGTGCAAGACCCTGTGAGTAAGGCTCCACCCTGTGCGTCTGCCCTGCTCAAGGAAACAGCACAGGGAGAGGGCTTCAAACAGCCCAGCAACCACTGCTGAGCTGCGCTGGGGTTAGAGCCTTCCCCTTGAGGCGCAGAACATACCTCACAGATGAACTAAGGCCTTGCTGCACATTGCTGAGCCATGCCATGCTCAGCCCCCTTTCTCATAATGAAAACAGTTTTTTGAAAAGGCAGCACTGCTATTTTGTGAGACACTAATGATGTCCTGCGTCATCCTCCAAACCCGCGATCTGGCCACCAACCCATCTGGAAACCATTAGGGGTTCTGTGCTGGCATCCAACTTTGGAATTTCTGTTTTCCTAATTTAATGTTTACAAGCACCTATCCCTGACATCCACTGCTATTTTGTTAATTCAAAACTCATTTTACTTTGAGAGAAACCATCAAGAGAGCCTATACTAACTGGTGCAGTTCTCAGAATGAACATCCTTCCATGTTAGGGTGGGATTTAAGATAAGAACCATGGGCAAGAAAATTAATTGGAACTTTATCCAATCACAAAGTTCTTAGAGAGAGAACTATTATGACTTAATTATTTGTGTATAATTAGCAGCCATGAACAGCAGTTCACCATTTAATATATAAAGCTCCACAGCCCATGTCCTACCTCTGTATACTGTCAATGGACAAAGACCTATTTAATATTCATATCCATAATTTATTCAAAATCTTACTCTTGCTGCATGTGGGCTACCTTAATTTTGTATTTTAACCATACCAGTTTTGAAAATACAAGGACAGTGACTCCAACATGCTAAGAGTAACCCCTAAGGAACACACAGATTTAGATCTATCTGTCCATCTACTTTCTTAACCACTTTATCCATAATAGGGTCATAGGTGAGTCAGAGCCTATCCCAGCAAGCAAACCCAAGAAGCTAGCCCTTTGCAGACACAAACAAGCACATCAAGGCCAATTTCCCAGAAGGCAAGTAACCTACCAGAATATCTTTGAATTGTAGGAGGAAATACACGCAAACACGGGCAGAACATAAAACACCACACAGACAGCACCCTAGGTTTGGCAATGAACTCATGTACCCAGTGCTGTGAGACTGCACACAGATTTTACATAAGTAAAAATCTGAGGTTTACTAATGGGGGTGGGCGGCATCACTAGTTACAGCACCTTCAAATAAAACCAAACCGTTAACATGAGAAGACTCATGAATTGAAATAATATCTGAAATGGTTTTAAATAACGTAGGTCGAAAAAGCACCTAAATCACTTACACCCAACTATAACGAGGGCAGTATTAAGCGTCACAAAGCCCTTTTCTGCATTATCATTTACAATAGATGCTTTGTGCAGTGTTAATCATTGCAGTGGAGCAACATGCCCATTAACAATTTGACAACAAAACTAAAGTGAAAGTCTTGCTGAGAAGACAGAAAAGAAAACAGATTTAAAATTTAAAATGAAAGTTTTTCAGTTTTATGTATTATATTTTGCAACAAATCCTTATTGAGGCAACTATTTTATTCTAAAATCAATGCATAACAGCAATAACAAGTTGTATTGTGCTTTTAACCTCAAACTATCAACATTTGTATTACAATTATATTTACACAAAGCAGGGGACCCTGTTAACCACTAATGACACACAGCCCCACCTGTGTGTGTCAGGCACTATCTGTAGATACATTCCAACTTCCACCTGTCAATGATTATAAGATGACTGTGGGTTAGCATTAAGTTAACTGTAAAGTTCTGGATCCTCATAAACAGCATAGGCCTGAGCTGCAAAAAATATTTCTACCAATGCTTTGCTTCAGGCCTAGTATGGAGAAGAAAATGAAAACAAATCCCTAAAATATTGATATACCATTTCCAAGTATGCAAAGTTCCAAGTATGCTTTTAAATGTTCAAATAAAACAATCCACTAATAGTTTGTCATACAGCTGTGATAGCAGAAAGATGTGACAGTCATTAGGACAGTGTTTCAGCATTCTGTCTATGAACTAGAGTGGCACAGCACAGTCACATGCACAGAATATTACTCAGCACAAAACAGTGGCTTACTTAGACCTAATAGAAACTTAAAAGATTCTTCTAAATGGGTCTCATGGACATCCCAAACTCTGTATTCTCAGTGTAATGTCGCAGCTGTGTGGGTGATTTGTCAGAATCCAAGCACAAGAGACAGTAAAAAGTGGAAAGTGAGAATGAGATAATTGATTTCTGGCTGGAAGGGCTAATCAGCCCAGGCCAGTCAATAATTGTTAGGAACAACAATCCCAGGAAAAGCTGGGTTAACTGCATCCCTTGTGAAAAAAGGCTGCTACACACAGCACGTCAGGAAAGGTAGTCACAAGTACAGAAAAACCCGAATATCGAGAATCCTGAAAAGGGAACCAAACGGCTTTAGAAGGGCAGCCAGGATTGCCAGGGGTGCAAACAGGCAAACTCAAGGGTCAACGCGGTGACCAGTGAAAAGTGTGAAATAAACTGCTGGCTAGAAGCTTAAACTGCTGCATCAGACGATACGGGGCACAATGCTAGGAGCTGAAGCTGCTGTGCAGGGCGTTGCCGAGAACTGAGACTGCTGCACACAGCAAAGTCTGGAAGTTGGGATTGCTGCCAAACACAATACGCCAATTGGAAATGGAGAATCTCGTGTACAGGAGAAACCAAGTTGCAAGCCTCCTGGGAAAGGAGCTGGACAGCTTAAAAGGGCAGATTTAAGGCCATTGAGACTGATGTGCAGAACGAAGGCTGGCTGAAGGTTGCTGCGCAGAGTGAAGCGCTGGTAAGACTGTAGAAACTGCTGTGCAGAGCAAGGGCTAGCTTGGTGAAAGCTGAAACTTCTGTGCAGAGTGAATTGCGGCCTTGAGGAAAAATCGGCTGCACAGCCCGTGGTTTAGAAAAAATAAAGGGAGGCTCGGGTACAGAGAAACCAAATAGTAAGTTTCCTGAAAATAAATTTAAAAAAATAAACCAGAACCAATTGGGTTTCAGGGCAGTCTTGAGGCTGCAACGTAGGTACAGACTAAGTTGACTGTGGTAAGTCAACGTAGGTAAGACTGTGTAGTTCAGCAAAGGAAAAAAAAAGAGGATAGTGAGACAGAAGCAATAGTGAAAATTGGGTTGGCGCGAAAAAATGTCTCGTCAAAGTGACACCTTGGCTTTATATAGAAAAGCAGGGACTGAATAATAAGCTATTTAACTCGGATCACAAAAAGGTGATCCGGTCAGAGCAGCAAACCCTGGAATACCACAAGCCCTCATGAGAATGTGACGATTTCCCAGGGAAACCGCTAGCTAGAGGACACCATCATGACACTCAGGAAGCGAGATCAGATACTGTAAATCAAGTGACACAGGGGCTCATCTCCAGAATTCTGTGTAAGCCATGCCTTTGTGTATAGTAGGTTATACAGAAGACTAGCTGAACCTCACAGGGCCATTTCAGCAGTAATCTGTTCTGAAATGTCTCCTTTTGACCCTGTAGCAGACGAGACTGCTTCAGCCTTGCAGCAGAGCATCCTCTGAAAAAAGTGCAGAGTCATGGAGGATATTGCTGAGTTCTAGCCTATGTTCCTGGGGTATGTAAAATTAAATAGGGAAGTATCAAAACAGAAAAACAACAGCAAGCTTTTTTTTTTCCATTTAACCCTCAGACACAAAACAGCTGTTTATAGATGGATTATAGCAGGGGTTCTTAACCTTTTTAAGATTAAAAATATTTTGCGAACCCCCCCCACTTCCACACACAGATTTAAAAATCATCATATTGTATATAAATTGTAAGCCTGCTCACTTAATAATAATAATAATATTTTTTATCTATATGGCACCTTTCATACAATTGTTAGCAACTCAACATGCTTGTTACAAAAAAGTATAAAAAAAGCCTTAAGCAACAATAACAAATTAAAAGAACTATGCACAAACAATACAAATAGCACTGAAATTATATAAGAAAAATCAAGTAAAAGACTAAAAAATGTTTTTGAGTTGCCATTTAAAAATATCCACAGAGCCAGCCTCTCTAATATTTTTAGGAATACTTTTCCACAGTTTGGGTGTGTAGTAGCAAAAGGCTTGCTCTCCAGTCATCTTATGCTTAATTTTTAGAAAAATCTTTAAAAGTCATGTGCTTGTAA